CTGGAGAAGGTAAAGGGCCACCAGGAGCTCCTGGTGGCAAGGGAGGTCCTCCGGGGCCGGCAGCACAGATCGCCCTCTGGGAGAGAAAGAGGAGGGGGAACCGGTCATACGGAGCTGGGGGACACCACGCAAAAGATGCCCCCATGCCGATTTTTTAACTTTTTTGCCAAAATTTAACCAGCATAGGAAGCACCCAAAGGCTTCAGCACTCCTGACTGAGGTCCGATGCAGCTGGAGAGGCGAAATCACCCTGTCACAGGGATGAACACTGTGGTGGCCCTCCCACCAAGCACCTTTCTCAGCCCCCCGTGCAGCTCAGCCTCCAGAAGTCACCCCATGGTGTTTGCAGGGGGCCTGGGATTGGGCCACAGTGGGTAGGAGGTCTGGGGTCTCACCCTGCTCATCTCATGAAGCTGCGCCGTGAGATCTGCCACCTGCTGCTTGACCTGCTTGTGCTCGCTGGACTCCTTCTCCAGCTTCTCCTTCATCTTGTTCAGCGTCTGCATCATTTCTTCCTTCTCCTGGGCCTTGGCGTCGCACTCTCGCTCTTTCTTCTCCAGCTTCTGCTGAAGCTCGGTGTGCTCTGAAACAGCCCCATGAGACCACTTCTGGGTGACAAACACTCCCTTTTGGCAAATGGCAGGGGGACGTGGGGGACTAACCCCCACGCTGCTCTGTGGAGAAGCTGCGCAGTTAAGAAAAGGGAGCAAGTGTTGTGCCTTAATGCCCTGGCCAGGGCTTCCCCATGAAAAAATTAATATCTACTTCGCCTATTTCTCTTGTGAGCCCCATAGTGTACTATTATCTTAGCCACTCAGTAAAGCCTGCAGAGTCCATCCAGCTAAATACATGTATACGTTATCTGTTTAGTTTACTGTGCATGCTAAGGTTAAAGTTAACACTGTATCACTCACCTTTTCGCATTTTTTCTGCTTGCTCTTTCCACTGTTTCACTTCATTTTCATTGACTAACCTAAAAGAAAAGACAAGTAGTGCGATGAGACAACCCTACCACAAAGACTGGCCGTAAACAAGCAGCCATCACCATCAAGAAACACAACTGAACAATCCTGGAGTGTGGGATTTAAGACTCCCAAATTGGCATTTCCAAAACCTCTGCTCTGCGTCCCCCCGGCAGAGTTTTGCAGCCTGGGATGCCGCACTGTCTCAACAGCTCTGGGGACGCTGGCTTGTCCAACTGAGGAGCAGAAACATCACGGGGTGACAGTAAGTGATGAATAAGGAACAGTGACAGCAGCAGTCAGGGGAAATAGCTCACTGAGGACTCAAAGTTTGAGCTTAATACACCTGCATATCGTGCTCAAGAGGTCGAAGCGATGCCAGCCTGGCAGGGATAACGCCCAGCCCTGGCCCCCTCACCTGCCCGAGCGGAAGGCAGCGAAGCCGTGGTGGCCTGTGCCAGCGCCACTCAGCAGCCAGCCCCAGGAAAGGCAGGTGAGCACTTACATTCGGACGACGTTTTTAATATTGAAGTTTTCCAGGGGAGTGGCGTCAGGGTCCTGCCCTTTGTCACTCTGGATGACGATCTGCTGCACGATCCTGTCGAGCAGCAGCCAGTACTGGACAGTGTTGCCGCTTCTTTTATCTGGAGGGGAAGAAGGGGAGATACTGAGGGGAGCAGCAGGGAGGTCATTGCTGCCCCCGGTGAGGAGATGTGGGCTGCCAAGCCCCTGGCAGCCGCAGGTTTCCTCGCCTCCCCCAGGACTCACAAGGCATTTGGAGACAGTGGTGCAGGATAGACATAAAGTGCGGGTACGCCTCGGTGTGTGTCAGCCTCTTCCTCGTCAGCTCGAACATCTGAGTCGCACTTTTGGTGTCAATGTGGACCTGTGGACAGGAGCAAAGCGAGATCAGGCCATTGGACTGGCGACGGTACCACCTGTTTCCCGAGTCTCAGCTCCAAACTCCACGAGCCATGCCCACCCCACGCCTGATGGACAGACAAGCCCCACTGCCCTGCAAGGGGCAAAGAGTTCTGGTCAGCAGCCAGGGATGAAGCAGGTTGTAGGATGGAGGCTGCAACAGAGCAGGGCTACAGGAGACAGATTTCCAACCTCCAAATTTTATCCAAATGACCGCACTTCATCCCAGGCCACGTAGGTGCTTTTAAAAGGAACCATGACATCGAGTGCCGGTGTCTGCATCAGCAACGTTCGTACTCACCAGCTCAAATCTTTTGGCAAATTCCAATTCATCTTCATTTCTAAGCATTTCAAAAAAATCTAAGTGCCTGAGGAAAGAAAGGGGGGAAAAAAAGACTATTAAAAGTAGGTATGAATGTGACAATTAATAAATTGCAGGCAGCCAGTCTGGCAGAGCTTCCAGAGCAGCCCACTAGCCGGCACCGGCCCAGAGACAAGCAGGACTTGAAACATCAACTGGATCTTCAGTCTCGAGCTCCCAGTCTTTTGGGGAGCCTTTTGGGACAAGAAGAGGAGGAGGAGGGCTGGCAGCATCCCCCAGGCCCGCAACGGCACATCCTTCCCAGCTCAACCCTACATTAGAGCGCAGTGAAACAGCACTGGGGTGTTTCCTCTCCCTCTCTGGTGACAGTGAAGAATTTCCTCAAAAGGGGACAGATCGACAGTCTAGACCCACATGCTTTCCCCAAAGGCAAACTTCAGAAACCAGAAAGCAAGGGCGCAAGGAAAGGGCAAAAACAACCGTCAGGCTGTGGGTTACTACTCACCGGTCGAGGGTTGAATTTTCATGCTCTCGCAGTTTATCAATGACTGGCTGGATCCCAAGCATGAGAAATTCGTATCTCAGGTGGAGTCTGAAATCCAGGCTTTCCTGCAGGGGAGAGTTGTGGGGTCAACACAGCAAGGTGCACGTCCTCAGAAACGTTATTGAAATAAGAACACCCAAACCCACCAAAACATCTCCCTCTCTAAGAGCCCCGGCGCTCACCACGCCTGCCCCTTGGCTCAGGACTGCGTTGATGAAGGACATGATGGCTGTCTTGAGGTTTACTTCATCCCGATACCGCCCCGTGCTCTTGTCCAAGTCATTGATCAGCGTCTGCCAAACACGCAACATCAGTTAAATGCCCAGCGACAGCCCCAAGGCTGCACAAACAACCAGGAGACACATGCAGGAACAACTCCTTGTGGTGCTCCAAAACCCCCCGTAGCAACCCGTTAGTGATGGATCATCAGCTGCTGCCTGCTGTAATGCAGCCCACCCCAGCACCCATTTCGGCTAACATCAGCCCATCCAGATGTGCTACAGCCTTGCAGAGCCATCACAGTGACCCTGCACAAGCAAGCATTTTTTTTTTGGGGGGGTGTTGCCTTAAATAACTGGTTCCTCACTCTTTGCTCAACTGCAGATCTCATCAGACATGGTTCTGGAGTAATTCCCAGAGTATCTAAGTTGCAAACGGCCCTAATGAATCACTTGCAAGCAGCATTTAGATATCGAGGAGGAGGAAGGGACAAGAAGACTGAATTTCGGGAGCTGAGGGGCGAGTCGAGACCCACCTACCTGAAAACGAGTTCGTTCGCTGGCGTATTTCTGGTAGTGCAGCATCGCCTCCAGTACCTTTTTGTGGCCCCCGGGAACCAGGCACACAGCGCCCATGATTTCCAGCACTGCCACCTTCGTCTTAATATTCTCCGTGCTCAGACTCTGAGCAATTACGTTAATACTCTCCGAATGGGCCAGGACGTGAGCCCGGCCCAGGGAGTTGTTCATTAGTGCTTTTATACATCCAATGAGCGAGGTATGTATTCGAGACTCCGCTGTCTCATAGTCCATGCTTTTGAGAAAGTTCAGAATACATGACAAGCCATCCAGGTCGATGAACCGGGTTACAAACCTGCCAGAAAGAGGCTTTTTAGCTTTAAAACCAAATGCTGAAGGACCATTTTAACCTCAAACAGGGCTGACTTGCCTGTTGTTGTAAACCCAGAACCTTCTTATCTATTTTTTCCTGGACTTTGGATAGCAGAAAGCCTGCAGGCTTAGAGCACAGGGACAAGTTGTGAAAATTTTAGCAATTTAATCGGTGCCCGATAGCATAGGCAACCAGGCATCATCTGCCCAAGGTTGTCCAGAGCTAGGATATTCGGAAGAGGACCAGCTAACCCAGCCACCAGCACAAGCCCCAGGGTGGAGGTTAGGAGTTTGCAGCCACGCTGCTGCAAAACCTTCCCAGTTCCCAACCTGAGTCTTAAATCTCACTCACTTGTGACCAGTTTTGCACAGGACTGGAAGAAGCTCCCAAGCCTTGGAGTCGCCTCCTCATCAGCCGCAGACACCCCAACCCCAGCTGAGCCCATGATGCCTGTCAGACTTTCTGCCTCTTGCTACTTCTCCTGCCTCACCACTCACATCCTTCTCCTCCCTTAGGCACATCTCACCAATTTTAAGGGATTTCTGATTTTTATGATGACTTATAACGTCACTAAATAGAAAGCAGACAGCAAACGCACGGCAGTGCCCCAGGCAGATTCATTAGAGCAGGCAGACATAACACTGCATGCTGCTCAGACATTTTAGGACCTCCCTGCCCGATGCCATCTAGGCTGGATGTATTCTGGTTTGGCAAAAGGCACGGGCTCGGAAAGCAAATGAGCCAAGAACATCCCAGCATCGGGATGATTTTAATTTGCAACAAGCCGTGCTGATGCGCAGCAACAAAAGGGGTAATTGCAGGCTCGGGGAAAACTGACTTCTCTGCTTCAAAGCCTACTCTTCTTCTAGCCAAAGTCAAAAGGAAATTTGATGTTCACTTCCCTTGGAGCAAAAGCAGGTCCAACAGGTAAAATTTTCTATAGAGCCTGCTGGATCCTTCTGACTTCCAGTGAGACAGACTCACAAACCACTTTTAAGGTCTTTGCAAAGTTTCATGGTTGGGTACCAGCCCTGCGCCCAGGAGACCGTGGGAAGCCAGCACCCAAGAGCTGCAGGTTTAACAGAAATTGGGTGCTCACCCTCGACCCTGGGAATTTCTTATCAAGTATCATCACCAGAACCATCGCAAAAGAGAAATGGAAGAGGGGAATGCATTTGAAAGCAATAGCAAAGTTGTTTCTTCCATAACCAGAACAGGTCATGCATTTCTTAATGAAACATTTACCCATCAGAAAATGTTGACCTGAGGCATCTTAAAGGTTTTGCAGATGTGTGCATGCAGACTCCAGAGAAACTGAATTTAGGAAAAACTACAGACATTTGAAAGAGTCCTACCCATTTCTTTATCCTCCCCATCAAAACCGCCTAGCAACATTTTGGTTTTTTGCACTTCATAAAAGCCAGAAGATTCATGTGATTTTATTCCTTTAAAAAGTGCAAGAGAAGTTGAAGTTGAAACAAAGGGCCTGGTTGACCAACAAAAATTGGATTTTTTTTTTTAAATTCAATCTGGAAGGAATTTTTACCTTCTTTTCCAAGCAGAACAAAAGCAAATTGGAAAAAAAAAGAAGTCGCCTGATTTGCCTGAACAGCTGTGAAGGTCCTGGTGGCTCTTGGCCACTAAAAGGACTGAGCAAAAGGAACAAAATGACAAGAGGCGCATCGAAAAAAGCAAGTGGCATTTCAGGGTCCTTGCCTCCCTCGTCCTCAGCAGGCCCCATTTGTATTTCTATTTAACCCCCCTCCACCAGTGGACATGAATCAAGAGCCATGACTGTGGCGATAAAGCCAGGAAACGGAAGGGAATTGCCTCATTGGTTTTGTCCGCAGTGCAGTCTTCAAACTTTCGATTGTTTTATTTCTCTCCTCCTCGTCTTCTTTTTCCAAAGCGATCAGCGATTTTCTCTGCGAAAGGAGAAAGGCAGATGTGAGAGGGCAGGTTTCCCTGTGAAGCTCATGCCTGAGGCATGGGCGCGCCCTCCGCCTCTCCATGCCAAGCCACGGGGATGGAGCTGGGGCCTTAAACCGACTCTGGAAGTTTAAAAGTCCAGATCCTTACGGCAATCGCAGAACTTGGGAAAACGGGCAGTTTGGAAAAACCTCTGTGGTCTGCAAGGAGATGGCCTGGACTGGGGACAGCAGGGTGAACGCGTCGCTTTAGGCTGAAGAGGCTGCCTGCAAGCACCCAGACAACTCGCTAGCACACGTAAAATTAAGCTGCGAGTGTTCGGGGCATCACAAGTCAGCAACACCCCAACCCACATCGGCTTTGGAACAGCGTTGCTGATGGCCTTGCCACTTGGGTTTTGTTTCAAAGCAGCGGGAAATGAACATTGGCCGGTGCTGAGCGAGGCCACAGGAACCCAGTGCCCTCTTCCCTAAACCAGTCCTCACCCCCCAGCAAGCCCTGGCAAGATGCCAGGCTTCACTGCTCTGAGACGATCAGGACAGCTGGATCATCACCTTGAGAGGACACACTTAGCATTGTCCTGCGTGATCATTACGTTCCAGAGTTAATGCCCTGCAGGTAGAAGTGGTGTCACCCCAAACTGCTGACCCGCAACTCCTCCAGACAAGCCCGTGTTGGAGAATGCTCACGATGGTCCCCCTGCAACCCTCAGACTCAGAGCAGCGAGAGGAAAGGCTGCAATTCAGGAGAGGAGCATCCCAACTCATAGGCTCTGGATATAAATCCTGGCACATCCCGTACAGCCCACGACTCTCCAGGAAACACGCTTTGTAAAAGAAAGAGGTAAATAAATGCATCACAGTGTCCCATACGAAAGTGTCTGGCTGAACCCCGCTCAGAGATGCTGCAGGTGACATCTGGGTGATGTGAATCTTGATGCATTTCCAGAGGACGATCCCAGGGCTGGAGGGGGCTGTGAGAATGCAGGGGGCTAAGCCAACGCTAATTAGGAATCCACAGAGGGAAGGTGCTAAATTGGGGCAGGGGAGAAGGAGGGGTCCTTTAGCCTCCCCTGGTACTCATGCATCCCAACAGGTACCCGTGTGCCCCTGCAGAGGAGGTGGGGGGCTCAGGGGACGCCCTGCAGCCTGGAGGGGACGGGATGCTGCATCCATGCTTGGGATCAGCCAGGTGGGTCCTGCCAACCCTGTCGCTCCCAGGTCTCCCAGTGCAACCCACTAGCGTGCATCTGGGTTGGGGACAGTGGCTGTGTGCACGGAATGCTCTTGGCATTTCCCACACTGGATTTCACTATCCAGCTGGCACTGGGGCTGGGACTCTGACTCCTGCAGCTCTACCTGAGTGGCACAGCTGCCTGCAGCTCGGGCATGCACAGGGTACGGCTTGCTCATCCCAACTCATGCAACCAAGACCACAGCTAAAGCAACACCCTGGGTGCTTCCTCCACCTTCCGACGGCACTGGACCCTCTGAGGTGGCAGGGTGAGTCCTGCCAGCACCGGCTGAGGCTAAGCCAAAGGAGAGAGGAAGGGTCCCAGCAAATACAAAGAGCTGCGCTGACCCCCGCATTTAACTCAGCTCCTCTTCGGCAGTGTGTCAGAAAGATCAAAGCCACCCTCCAGGCATCTGGCAGGCTTTGATCACAAGCTCTGCTCAGGCTCGGGGCTTGGCTGGCCAGCAGCCCCTGGCCAGCCCCGGGTGTCCCTGCCTTTCCGGAGGGAAGCAGCACGCTCCCTCCTGGCTCGTAGCCCCTGCCCGCCCCTCTGTCCCTGCTCCCCCACCCAGCCCTACCTTCCCTGTCACCCTGTCCCTGTGACAGCAGAGCAAAGAGGGCAAAAAAAAAAAAGAAAAATGATGCTAAATGATGCTTTGCTTTTTCTTTTTCCATGCTGCTCCCATCCCTAGTGCAGTGGCCACAAACCTTGGCACCTTCAGCCTCTGAAAGCAGGAGCGAGGATGGAGGGGCTCTGAACTGCGCAGCCTTGCAGGAAATACAACTGTGTTTCCTACAGAAAACAGCACTATCTCTGTCTGGCCTGGCACGACGTTGACAAGAAAGTATTTCATAAAATTACATCTAAACACGTCCCTCGTGGGACGGAAAGGGACGAACACCCCACAGCGTCTTGTTTCACCGTGGCCACCCAGCCCAGAAGGGTGTCTTGGGAGCAAGAAGAAGGCATCCTTGAAAAAGCACAGGAGCTATCGGCTTCAAAGCTACCACAGCAGCTTGGTGCCCCAGCGGCATTGCACGATCAAACGGGGTCTTTAAAAACCAGCCCAGTGGCTTTATACCGCAAGCTGCTGTTTGCCATCCGTCTCGCAGCCTCCCAGCCCAGGTCTAGATGAAATACCTTTACTGCCACCAAAAATGCCTCCATTTTCCAGCTATATATGTTGGTCTAATGGAGGATAGACTTAAATCCTTACATCAGGGGTTTCTGAACTGCTGGGACAAATGGCAAGCTACTGCCAACTCCAAACTATTGAGAGGTCCGCAGACCCGAAAGGCTGAAAACAGCCAGGTCACAACTTTGCGGCTACAATGCTTGTCACCCTCTCGGGCATAGAATCATGGAATCATTAAGGTTGGA